CCACGTGCTGTGCTCGGTTCTGGAAGCAAAATGGTAAAGAAAAAAGAGAGGTGGCTCTGGCCCTTGCGGAATTTAGGACCAGCCTAGCTCAAGGGTCTCCAACCTCCGGCCACAGGCCAGCACCAGCCTATGGCCTGTTAGGCTCCGGGCCACATAGCACGAGGTGGGCAGTGAGGCCAGCAATCATTACTGCCTGAGCTCCGCCTCCTGTCAGATGAGCACGGCATTAGATTCTCATAGGTGCGCGAACCATATTGTGAACTGTGCATGGGAGGGATCTAGGTTGTGTGCTCCTCGTGAGAATCTAATGCTTGATGATCTGAGGTGGAACAGTTTCATCCGGAAACCATCCCTCCACCCCGCTTCGTCCGTGGAAAAATTGTCTTCCACGAAACCTGTCCCTGATGCCAAAAAGGTCGATTGGGGACTGCTTGTCTAGTGGTATTGAAGAAAGTGAAATAGTGGCACTAAAAAATAAATTAGAAGTTGAATTAAGGGTTCTGAATGATGGAACACACTTGAGCTGAGACCTGAAGGTTGTGTAGAACCCAGCTATGCAGAAAGCGTGTCAGGGAGAGAGTCAATGTAATTTCAACTGTCTGGTTTATAGTAGTAGCCGCTCAGGTTAAAAAATCACTAGAGTCCGTCGTGGTGGCATGTGCCTGTAATGTCAGCTACCCCGGAGGCTGAAGCGGGCGGATCCCTTGAGCCCAGGAGTTTAAGACCAGCCTAGACAAGAGAGCGACTCGCCGTTCAAAAAAAAAAAAAAAAATCACTAATATGTAAGCACGGTTCTGAGTATTTTGCTTGAGTGATTCCATTTAATCATCATAGCTCTTGAAGTAAGTGCTTATCTTCATTCCTCAGAGCGGAAAAGAAGGTACGGAGAGACAGAAGTAAGTTTCCCAAGGCCACCGCTCTTGAGTACAGGAGCCAGGATTCTAGCCCAAGCAGAGTCCGTAAGTTGTGTACCAGCTACACAATGAATGGTGGCTACTAAAGCGTTTGCCAGATGGAGAGGGAAGTAGAAGAGGAGGCATTCCTTTTTTCAGGAATGCTCCATATTTGAAGAGTAATGAGCGCACTTCATAGCAAGGCCAAGAACAGAGTAAAGATGCCCGCGCATAAAAAGCAGCCGCGGTGACCGGGCGCGGTGTCACGCCTGTAATCCCAGCACTTTGGGAGGGCTGATCGCTTGACACCTGGAGTTCGAGACCAGCCTGGACAACAAGAGAAAAATCCATCTCTACAAAAAATAACAGTTTAGCCGGCCATGATGGCACGCGCCCGCAGTCACAACTACTTGGGAGCCTGAGGTGAGGGATCGAGGGTGCAGTTTGTCGCGACAGTGTGCGACCCTGTCTGAGGAACAAAATCAGCCGTGCTGAGAATGAGCCCCGTGTGGTTAGTGCGCCAAGACGCACTGCCTGCGTAACTAGAAGAGCTGACGGACGACTACCCCGCACCACGCCGCTCAGCGGGACACGCTTCTTGGCGGACTTTACAGTGGGAAGGGGAATGTCTACGTGCTTATGCACGTGGCACTCTCTGCCCGAGGTCCGGGGACTTTCCCCTAGGCAGTGGGGGAGGAACATAGTCCCCAGTTTGTAGCCTAGGATACAGGCCTTCAGCACGACTTGCATAATTACTGTCATACTGTATTACTTTATAGCCCTAAAAAAGACTTTATTTTTCGATTAGGGTGAGAAAGTTGGTGGCGTCAGAGAAAAACAAACCGTTTTTGGGCATAACTTTCTAAGACTATAGGTTTCCAGAGGCATTGTGGCTAGCAGAATAGCTTAATAGATAAGGAATGAGCAAATGCAGGAAAGCTGGATTGACACTATCTTATGCAAATATGGTCTGGCCCCGCCCTACGAGGAGTGGGCGTGGCCTCCCCGGGAGGCCCGTAGCGGGCCTGCTCGCTTGCGCGTGCGCGTGCGCGTGCACACTGGGGCGGCCGGTCAACGCCGGACTGCTTCGGGACAGCCCGCCCCATCCCTCCACCCGTGGGCTGACAATGGCGGGCCCAGTTTCGCTCTTCGGTATGGTGGGGCTGCTGCTTGTGTCTGCGCTGCCTGGGGTCCCAGGAGACCGCGCCAGTCCCGACCTCCGGGCACACCCAGGTATCAGCGAGAGCTGCTGGAAGAGGGCCGGGACTGCGCACTGGTCCCAGGCCCCACCCCGCTCGGCTGACTTGCCTGTGTCCTCCCTCCGCAGGGAACGCAGCCCACCCCGGCTCTGGGGCCACGGAACCCCGACGGCGACCACCGCTCAAGGACCAGCGCGAGCGGGCCCGGGCCGGGTCGCTGCCTCTGGGGGCGCTTTACACCGCGGCCGTCGTGGCTTTTGTGCTGTACAAGTGTTTGCAGGTGCGGGACCGCCGGGGGTGGGCATGTCCTGAGCCCGAATCTCCCATGGGGGCGCCAGGGTACCAAGAGCAAGACACAGCTTCCCTGTCTGTAAAATAAAGACAAATGGTCCGTTGGCCTTCCAATATTATGAGGTTATTTTGAGGATCCAGGGAGGTAACGGATGTGAAGAGTGAACTGTAAATAAATAATGACCATCACATTTGGTTCTCCCACAATCCAATGAAGAGTAGTCACTTGCTCGAGGTCACCCAGCGCTGGCAACTACTGGAGCTGGGATTTGAACCCAGCTAGCAGTGTCCATGCTACAAGATTGGGGCCACCTTGGCACAGGAGGTTGATTGCTGCAGCGTGTTTCTAGAGTTCCAGATATGAAGTGGTCTTATGTTGTCCTTGGGAAGGAGGCCCTGATGTGAGTTGACAGTACATTTTGAAAAGTAGTACCTTCCAGGGCTGTGTCTTTAGCCCTGACCCTATTACATAGTTGCATTATAAAATAGAACCGATGGAACCAGTTTAGATGCATGAAACTAAAAGAGATAGCTAATAATGACCCCAGGTAGATATGACAGGCTAGGATGAATGACTGAATTTAATGATGAACTTTGAGGACAGACTAGTAAATTCTATTCTTGGACCTGAGTACAGTCTGGAAGAAACATAAAGTAGCAGCAACTCTTACGAAAGAGATTTAGGCATTCCAGTTGACTGAGTTCACTGTGGGATGTGACAAGCCACTTCCCAAATCAGTGCTGGGAACATGGCACTGTGCTTCACCTGTTGATCAGAATGCCCCTGGAGAATTGTATTCGCTTCAGGGCACTGCTGTAAGAGCACTACATGTTCAGTAAACCACCAGAGAAAACCACCGTCAGTGAGCACTGACTGTAAAGACTGAAGTTATTAAACCAGAAAAGACTCAGGAAAGGGGGTGAGGGTGTGGCCATTGTCTTCAAATTCCTGAGGGGCTGTCACATTGAGGAGACATTATTTTGGAAGGCTCCAGTAAGCACTATGGAAAGAAGATACATAAAGGACAAATTTTGGCTTTATGCACGAACTGTCTAACAGCCAGGGTTTTTGTTTTTTGAGACGGAGTCTCCTTGTGTCACCCAGGCTGGAGTGCAGCAGCGCGATCTCAGCTCACTGCAACCTCCGGCTCCCAGGTTCAAGCGATTCTCCTGCCTCAGCCTCTCAAGTAGCTGGGATTACAGGTATCTGCCACCATGCTGGCTAATTTTTGTATTTTTAGTAGAGACGGGGTTTCACCATGTTGGCCAGGCTGGTCTCAAACTCCTGACCTCAGGTGATCCACCCACCTCGGCCTTCCAAAGTGCTGGGATTACAGGTGTGAGCCACCGCGCCCAGCCACCAGAGCTATATTCAAACCGGAGAGAGTTGCTCATTCCTGGTGGTGTTTTTCAGCAAACTGAATGACCGTGTGTGGGACATAGGACATGTTGCTTCATGTGCTGGGTAAGGAGCTAGATAGATAAGAATTGCTATTCTCTGAGCTAAAAACCCAATCACCGTCTCCACCTCAAATTGCACTCTCTCCTGGCTGGCTCTGGAGACTGAGGTGATGGAGCAGAACCTTGTTGCTTCAGTTCTGCCCTTTCCTTCTTCCACAACAGGGGAAAGATGAAACTGCGGTTCTCCACAAGGAGGCAAGCAAGCAGCAGCCACTGCAGTCAGGTGGGTTTAGCAGAAGTCTGTGCTGGGTAGAGGGAGATTAGGGGACAGCAGAAGATACGTAACCACTTCTGCCCCCCTTTTTTGCCTTATCCCCAGAGCAACAGCTGGCCCAGTTGACACAACAGCTGGCCCAGACAGAGCAGCACCTGAACAACCTGATGGCCCAGCTGGACCCCCTTTTTGAGCGGTGAGGAGAGCAATGATTCTGTTAATTTTGGGGGAATTTGTGGCAGGAGGGAGGAATGGGGACATAAGTTGGGAGCCACTGAGTGGACATTTCTTCAGTGTGACTACTCTGGCTGGAGCCCAGCAGGAACTTCTGAACATGAAGCTACGGACTATCCACGAGCTGCTACAAGACGGCAAGCCGGACAAGGGTATGGAGGCTTCAGAACCAGGTGAAGGCTTGGGAGGCGAGTCTGCTGGAGGTGGAGACAAAGTCTCTGAAACTGGAACATTCCTGATCTCTCCCCACACAGAGACCAGCAGACCTCTTCCTGAGGACTTTTGTTTAAAGCAGGACGAGGAGGAGGTTGGTGACAGTCAGGACTGGGAGGAGCCCACAAACTGGACCACAGAGACATGGAACCTATCTACTTCCTGGGAGGTGGAGCGGGGGCTACGGAGAAGGTGCAGGCAGACTGTGGCAGAGGGCCCCAGTCACAGCCCTGGCTGGGAAGGAGGGACGATAGCTGAAGGTTGAGTAAAACAAAGTCTGTTTTTGTGATGGGGTGCTCCTGTGTGTTTTTTCCATCCTAGCTGGTTGTACACACCCATACTAGGTGCCTAAGGACAACTGGGCCTTCTTGAAGAGCTGTCCTTATTAGGACAAAAAGAGGCTGCCTTCCAGTGTGACAGCAGAAAAGATAGAGGGAGCTCCAGCTCTTTTCCTTGTATTCCTGAGGCCACCAGCATACCCGTGTTCAGGGCCCAAAAATCCCTTTTCTCATAGCAAAACTGAGACAGAAGGGTCTTTCCCCAAAAAAAGAAAAAACTTTACTCAAATCCAGTGGAAAAATAAATGATAGAAACTATACACAACATAAAAATAGCCACATTTACAAAGCTGCAGCCTTGATAAATGATGGGCCATGGACACAGCACGGAGCTTATCAGTCCCAAATCCCCTCATCTGTGTTAGGGGCTGGTTCAGTTGGGTCAGACTTGGTTTCCTGATTCTTTTTTAATAAAATTTCTTAATTATTTTTTCTTAAATAGAGACAGGGTCTCACTCACTGTGTTGCCCAGGCTGGTCTTGAACTCCTGGGCTCAAATGATCCTCCCACCTCTGCTTCCCAAAGTGCTGGGATAACAGGCATGAGCCACTGTGCCTGGTCGTGATTTTTAAGAGTTGGTCAGGTGATCTTGAGTAGCTTGGTCCAGGTAAACACAAAGTGACCTTTGTCAAATCATGAAAGGTTCTGTTTTGTTCAGTACTGAAGAAGATTCCTTTGTACTCCTGGCTGTGACCTATCCCTGAGGTATCCTGAGTTGTGGAATCTGTAAGATTCCTCTAGTTTTTCTGGCTGCTGTGGAGAGAAGACAGTCAGTTCAGGCACTGGCATGAGTGCTCTTTTCAGACAAAATCATCTGTGGGGTTGGTGGCTGGGGCGTGCCAGACCAATGTAGGGCACGAGACAGGAACTGCTTATTTCCTGCTTGTGGGCCTCATCACAGCGCCCTTCCTGGGGGAAGACACAACTTACCTGATAGCCCAAGTCAGACTGTGGTACCAGCGTGACAGCTCCTCCTGGTCTGTGGACATAAGCAGTAGCTTCTCATGAGGGAAGGACAGCTAGAGAGAGACCACCTCTTAGCGCATGGCTCAGAAAGGTCCAGGCTAAAGCTGAAGCCCTTGCTGTTTCCATGGAGCTAATTCGGGGATGAGACAATGACTAGGTATGAAGCCTGAGCCCCAGCTATCCTCTCTCAATGTAGATGGTGCTGTTCCTATGAAAAGGGACCCACACCAGGAAGATAAACCAGCCTATAAGCATCTGAGACATATTTTGGGTCTAGGGTTCCCACCTATTACTTACACTGAGCAACCCACCACAAGGGCCTCCTGAGTGGCCAAAGACCCTGCTGAGTTGACACTGGGCCATGGGGTAGAGGGCCTTGCAGGCAAAGGTGCCACTCTGCAGCAGGTGCAGTGGAGGTCGAGGCTTGGCCATGAGCAGCACATCAGTGAAGAGGAAGAACATGCGGGGCCGAGGCTCCCCATGGGGAGGCACCACCAACAGCCAGCCCTGGCGTAGGAACCAGCGCCCTGGGGGATGGGAGCGCTGTTATTCTAGGGCAGCTTCAGGATCCATGGGAATAAGAGGAAAGGGAAGCTAAGAAAACAGGGGTTATGTGCTGGGTCAATACCGGAAGAAGGGTGAGTAAGAAAAGAGCAGCTGGTTGGCGCTTGGAGAGTTAGATAAAAATAAAAGACGGGGCAGTTGAGGTTTGAGGGGGAAGTAGGCAGGCTACCTGAGGTCAGCCCCTTTGCCTGGCGTCCACTGAGCAGAGCCTGGACACGCCGAAGGTGCTGGTCGTTCTTCTGTTTCTGACCAATAGTGTGGACTCTCTGGGCAGTCTCACTTATCAGTCGGGCAGCCCCTGGAATAACATCTCCCACACCTTACTCCCCAAATAACTTTGACTTTGGGTGGCATGGTTGTGAAAGAGGCTATTCTGGAGGGGACCAGGGTCAGGGTCTGACTTCTTGAAGAAAAGGCAGAGCAGTAGGGATACTGTATACATGTCAGTGGAAGATAGGGTCATACCAGACATTGTTGGAGGTCAGAGTCAGAAAGGGATACAGGAAAGGAAGCCTCCAGCCTGCGTTGCAGAGGAGCAGGAACCTACGTGTGAGCTGTTGATGGTCAGGGCTGTTGGGACCTGTGTTTTCAGCCAAAGCAATGACGAGATTCTCATACCTGGAATTCAACAGTGGGAAGTCTGAGGGGAAGCACAGCCAGGCAAAACCCCCCCTGCCTGATGTGCAGATCACCCTCTACCCATACTTCAATTGCAAGGCCAGGAAAGATCTGCTTCTGGCTACTGTATCCCCTTCTTTCATGTAGGACTCAGAACCAGGGCTCATACCACACAGCCCTCTTCCATCCCGCACTGAAGAGTCAGTGGCAGACTAGCCATAGTTCAGGAGGCCAGACTGGAAGATGAAAGTTTATCAACCCAAGGAGGATGCTACAGACAGCCTGACTATAGCCCTTAACTCAGGCTTAACCCAGAGACAGAAATTCTAAGCCAGGCCAGCCCCTCATCTGAAACTTTTCCAGAAACCGTGCCTCAGGCCCTGGTAGAGGCCCCGTGACTTCAATGTAAAGTCCCACAGTTCCAGCTGAGGGCCTCAGGCTGCAGACCCTCAGTACTCCAATGGGTTCACATTTACTCTTGCAAAAGGTTTTTAGAAGCAATTTGGCTCAGGGTCGAGGCAGGGCTTTGGGATCGACCCCAAGACATCCCACAAAGCTGAGGGCCGCAGTCATACAATCTCAAAGAGAGAGGCGGCTGGAATCAAGGGAAGTTCACTCACTGCTGGAGCCGCTGCAGAGGCAGAGGGAGTAGGTCCTGGAGCTGAAGGCCCCCAAACTCAGGGCGGCTTTCCTGAAGCCGCACAAACCTCCGGAAACCTTTATTTTTCTTTAGCTGCTCCTGGAGTGAGGGAGAAAGGATTGGAAGCAGGGAGACAAGCCACTCCTTATATTGCATTCATCTGTATCCACATTCCCAGCCTTCAGTAAGCTGTGCGCTCCTAAGAGAAACCCTGTCTCCCTACAGAGAACTTACCACAGAGCTGAGCACCCAGAGGGCTCTATAAATGCAGGAAATGTATAAAGTTTGGGTCTCCAGATGAAGGGGAAAGGTAAGGGGCAAGATTTGAGGTCATCTCCAGGTTACCTGCAGGGTGGTCTGGGATCTCTCTGAGTTGGCAGCAAATTGGTTATAGAGCTCCAAGTGGCGGCAGAAGCCCTCCAGCCCTTGGCCCCAGCATCCTCCTTCCAGGTAGGGAAGCAGCTCCCTGTGTGGGCGAGGACAGCAAAAGGGCAGCTCTAGAGCCACTCAAGCACCACCTCATTTAGTTCTCATGAGAATTAATAGCACTAATAGTAGTGCTATTACCCCATTGTACAGATGGAGAACAAGGGCATGCTAAAGGCACTGGGCCAAGGCCACAGGTGAGGTAACTGGCCGACTCCAAATTGAACCTGATACAACCTGAGTCTCTGACTCCAAGCTCTGTGCACGGCCACAGGCCAGGACTCTCCCTCCTTTCCTCTCCCTGTGCCCCTTCCACTTACTGGCTGGCGCCGTAGATGAGCTCCCAGGAGCCAAACAGGGCCTGGCGCTCAGGTGGTCGCAGGGTCCCCTTGGCTTTCAGGATCCCCAAAAAGTACTGCGGAAGGAGAGAATATTGGTTCCTAGCCTGGAGGAAGAGGAGGCTAACGCCAGGCTCCCCCAGAAACCGCAGAAGTCTGCCCAGGCTCCCTGCATGCAGAGGGATAGTCCAAGACCACCCTATTCCGGGTTACCGACCTCGCAGAGACCCTCCCACACCCTGGGGTCCCTGTTCCATAATGGGAGTGTGTGCCAGGTCCCGCACCGTGGCCACCAGCCCCAGCTGTTCTTGGTAGCGCCGCTCAGTCTCTAGCAGCTCCCGGGCGGTGCAAGCGCGTTTCCGCTCCCAGCGGGCACGCTGCTCTTGCACCGGGGACCGCACACCCGGGTAGTGGATCTCCATGCCTGGCTAGGGGATCGACACTTCCGGCTGCAACCCGCGGCAGATTCAAACCCTAACCGCTCTAGGGCGGGAGCCGCGGAGGCGGGGCCGGGGAGGGCAGCGCGCAGGAAGGAGCATGCGCGGCGGCCGGCCGGACCGCGCAGGGTCTCTTTCGTCCTGCCCCACCGCCAGGGAGGCGCCTTAGCTGCGCGGCGCCGGCAAGGGCAGGGCGGGGTGGGACAGGTGTGGGGCCCTCCTCTGAGTGGCACTATGTTGGAGCAGCAGCCTGAACTTTCAGTCAGGAGACGGGCTGCAGCTGCTGGCAGGAACTTAGCGTCCTATCTGGAGAATTGGATGGGGGTGGGGCGCGATCATTACAGTACACATTCTGTCCGGAGCCCATGCCGAATGCCGGGGGTCGGTTGTTCCCAGAATTGGCTAGGAAAAGGTATAGCCATTTGAAGGAATGATATGAAAGTATTAAATATTATAAATGGTGTTGTGAAGAAGCTATTAATATGGGAAAACACACATAGTAAGTATATTGCTGAGAGGAAAAAAGCAGGCTACGAAGGTGTATAATATAATCCCCTTTGTATAAAATACATACAAAAGGTTTGAAGGCGAAACAAGCAAAAGCTAACTGTGTGGCCGGCACGAGAGCTCACACCTGTAATTCCAGCACTTTGGGAGGCAGAGGCGGGAGCATCGCCTGAGCCCAGGAGTTCGAGACTCCATCTCTCCAAAAAAAAAGAAAGAAAAAGAAAAGTTAACTGTGGTTTTTATCTCTGGGTAATGGAATTGAAGATAATTTGTTTAACAAATGTGTATTAAGTACCTAATCTGTATCTGTGCCAGGCACTGGATCACTGAAGCTAAAGGGATGAACGGGACAGACAGGGCGATTTTTAAAATTCTCGTATACTTCTGCCTTTCCCAAGTTTTCTACATTAAGCATGCATTACTTTGTAGTTAGAAAAAAAAAATGTTATAAAAAAAACAAAATGTCAGAAACTTTAGGCCCCCTCCCTACTGTTTTGGACTCCTAGGAATCTGGACCCCAAGCCAAGAACCAGGGGATTGTCAAGGTTCTGAGGTCCCCACCACCTCCCCACCAGCTCTGACATTCTAAGAATTCTAAGAAAGAAATAATGCTGGGCTTAGACCAGGGAGGAATAACTTGAAGCGCTTGGTTGAAGGAAGGGGAGAGTTTGGATCAGACTGTACCTTGGGCTCATGTCCCAAGGAAACTGGTAGTGATACCAAATAGGTAGAGGACTGGTTATACTGTCTCAAGTGAATGTGGGACAGTCCACACACTAAGAGCTCGAACATAGAAGAGGACAGATAATCCCGTGGTAATTGGTGTCACTGTGAGCCCAGGTGATGAGAGTAGACCACAACACCTGGGGTGCAGTTGGTGATGGGTATGTTTGTGAATGCTGCCAGTGCGTGTTAGTGCTTTGGGTGGGTGGGAGGGGGTGGAGAATAGAGCCTCCTATAAGCATCGGTTGGGGAAGAGGGCAAAGCCAAGAGGACACACTGAAAACAATTGGCGACAACTAATTCCCTGGGGACCAAATCTCTCACAGAGCAAGTCAGGCATACCACACTCTACCTGGAACAGCTGCTAAACTCTGCTCCCACAGCCAAAGATAGGAGGGGCCAACAGGAGGAGGTTCAGAGGGTAGTCAATAACCCCTTTATTCTTTATCCTCAAATTTTGCATTCAACCTGATGGATGCTGGAGAAGCCCTAGGGATGCTTTGAACAACAGTCATCAGTCATTCAACAAAATTAGGCTGAGTGTGGTGGTTCACACCTGTAATCCCAGCACTTTGGGAGGCCGAGGTAGGCAGATCACCTGAGGTCGGTAGTTACAGTTACAATGGCTGTGTGCTTCTTTATGTGTTGTTGGAAACCAGCCTGACCAACATGGTGAAACCCTGTCTCTACTAAAAATACAAAATTAACCGGGCATGGTGGCACATGCCTGTAATCCCAGCTACTTGGGAGGCTGAGGCAGGAGAATCTCTTGAACCCGGGAGGCAGAGGTTTCAGTGAGCTGAGATTGTGCCATTGCACTCCAGCCTGAGCAACAAGAGCGAAACTCCGTCTCAGAAAAAAAATAAATAAATAAATGCCAGTCATGTGCCAGGTCCTGTGCTAGGCATGAAGATGAAATGGTAGACAAGAGAAATATGACTCCTGCCCATAGGCAGCTTACACTCCAGCATGGCAGATACAGTAAGGAGTCACCATAAAATGAGGAAACATTACAAGGGACATTTAGGCTTCTACACAATCATGCAGTGAAGGGACTGATCCTAGTGTAGGAGTCAGGGAAGGCTTCTCAAAGGAAGTAATATGTGAACTGATGACCTGAAGGATGAATAAAACCTGGCTAGGCAGAGCTGGGTGCTGGCAGCAGGGGAAGTGGAAAAAAGAGTCAAACAGCATGGACAAAGGCCTGGACACACACATACACAAGCATACGATGAATTTAAGGAACTGCTAGACGTTCTGTAAGATGAGAGCATAGACTGCAAGGGAGAGAGTGATGACAAAGGAGACTGGAGAGGTAGACAGAGGCCAAACTTAGAAGGAATTTATATCAGTAAAATTGTGATATAAGTAATAATAAATTCAAAGTGGCTAAACATTAAGATAATTTATTAACTCATGCAACTGAAAAGTCCAGAAGCAGGTGGGCCCTAGTGTTGGCCTAATCCAGCAGCTCAATCATGTTACCAAGGACCTCTTTCCACCACTCCACCGTGCCTTCCATGGTTTTACCTTCATCTTAAGGCTGGCTTCCATTGTGGATACAAGGTGGCTGCCCACAGTTACAATGACTGTGTGCTTCTTTATGTGTTGTCCGCAGAGTTGGTTCCCTTAGCCATCAAATACTTCAGACAGAGAGCTTTACTGATTGGACTCCCCTAGGTCACAAGCCTGCCATGGAAACCAGGGCAATAGTGGCACGCTGAAGGCCACGTCAGTTACTGTGAACCTTATCCTAAGAGCAATGGGAAACCATTGAAAGGCCTTAAACAGGGAGTGAGATAATGAGATGTGCCATTTTAGAAACATCACTCTGGTTAGCTGGACTCAGCAAGACCTATCAGGAGGCAGTTGCAGTCATCCAGGTAAAAGCTGATGTAAGTGTGAGCAAAGATGAAAAATGTGGATGAAAAATTTAGAAGGTAGAATCTATAGGGCATGGTTATTGAATGCTAGGGTGAAGGAAAAGATAAGTAGAGATGGTACCAGGTTTCTGGCTTCTAGGCAGAGGGTGGTGCTATTTACTGAAGGAGGATGAAGAGGAGGTTTGTGGGGAAGACAAATTCAACCTGGGGCCTGTTAAACTTGAAATACTTGTGGGATATTCAAGTGGAGATGTCTTGGGTCTTGTCTATTAGGCAGATGGTTATGGGTCTGACATGGGGAGAGAGTCCAGCCTGGGAATACTTGGGTGTCATCAATTTATAGGAGCCATGGGAGTGGATGACACTGCCTTGCAAAGATAAGGAGCAGGATAAGGGCAAAAGCATGAGAGTCTTCAATATGAACTCATCCCTTCTCATCCTGTGCATCCACTTCAGTTCCACCGTACTGATGGTGGACTAAATGGTGGCCCCATAAAGACACGTCCATGTCCTAATCCTCAAGACCTGCATATGTGACCTTGTTTGGAAAAAGTGTCTTTGCAGACATAATTAGTTAAGGATCTTTTTTTTTTTTTTTTTTTTTTGAGATGGAGTTGCTCTGTCGCCCAGGCTGGAGTGCAGTGGCGCAATCTCAGCTCACTGCAAGCTCCACATTCCGGGTTCACGCCATTCTCTTGCCTCAGCCTCCCAAGTAGCTGGGACTACAGGCGCCCACCACCATGCCCAGCTAATTTTTTGTATTTTTAGTAGAGATGGGGTTTCACCGTGTTAGCCAGGCTGGTCTCGACCTCCTGACCTCATGATCCGTCCACCTCCGCCTCCCAATAGTTGAGGATCTTGAGATGAGATCATTCTGGATTATGTTGGTGGACCCTAAATCCAATGACAAGTGTCTCAATGAGAAACACCCAGTGGAGACACAGGGGCAAGAGAAGGCCATGCGAAGTTGGAGGCAGACATGGAGTAATGCAGCTACAAGTCAAGGAATGCCTGGAGCCGCCAGAAGTTAGAAGAGGCAAGGAAGGATTCTTTCCCAGAGCCTTCAGAGAGAGTCCAGCCCTGCCAAAACCTTGATTTCAGACTTCTGGCCTCCAGAACTGTGAAAAAATCCATTTCTGTTGTTTTAAGCCACCCAGTTGGTGGTAATTTGTTACAGCAGCCCTTGGAAATGAATAAAGATGGGGAGGTGGCCAGAACTACAAGTTAGCCTCAAGGTTCTATAAGGAATTTGATCAGTCTTTGCCCCCGAGCCATGACTTGGGAGAGGGACCATTTTCCCTTCTACCCAACCAGTGAATAGTTTCCTCCTCTGCCATGCTGGGATAGGCAGAGACATGTTTTAGTAACATGACCCTTCAGTGTTTTAAAACACAAACCCTCATGAACAAACACTTGACCTATAATAACCTGGATCAGAGAGGTCCTGATCCAGGTGTGGGGTGCCCTCATCAGTAAGTCCTGAGTACACTCTGTCCCAACCTGGGGAGACTCAGGAAACAATAACTCAAACCTGTTTTAGGGTTTGGCAGACTCCCAGCATGATCCAGAATCAGAGTCCACATTCTCCACTCAGATCAGAGACGAGAGAGACAAGGAGAGAAACGGAGCCATAGGGAATCGCATTTGGAAAATGAGTGAGCTGCAACAGAGAGCTGAATTAGTCTTTACCACATTCTGTCTTGTATAGGCCTGTCCAATTCAGATATTACCATGTACTTCCATGTGTCAGGAGCCAAGCAAGGTCCAAGCCAAAGACAGAGCTGACCAAGACAATCAGCTGGCCATTCAGAGTGTACACTGGACAACACTGCCATGGAGAGCTCTGAATTTGGCTCCAGAAATGGCACCCTAGAATCTTAGGCTGACTACATCTGAGGATGACCATTTGGAGGACAACGGTTATTCAGCCATATATATTTTGGTGTACAATATGACAGTCATCTGACAACACAGATGATTTGGAGTGCCACAAAAATGTGGTGTGAGGCCAGGCATGGTGGCTTACGCCTATAATCCCAAACTTTTGTAGGCTGAGGTGGGAGGATCACTTGAGGTCAGAGGATCACTTGAGGTCAAGAGTTCAAGACCAACCTGGGCAATATAGCAAAACCCTGTCTCTACAAAACAAATTAAAAAAATTAGCCAGGGGTGGTGGCTTGTGCCTGTGGTCCTAGCTACTCAGGAGGCTGAGGTGGGGGGATCACTTGAGCCTGGGAGATTGAACCTGCAGTGAGCTATGATGACCCCACTGTACTCCAGTCTGGGTGACAGAGTAAGACCTTGTCTCAAAAATAATAATAATGTAAAAAGTTATGTCCTGTTTATGGAATAGCTGTGGTTTGACATGCACAGGTCATTGACAATGAGCTCCCTGAGGGCAGAGACTATATCTTAGTCAATTTGGTATTTCTCAAGCACCTGGCAAGGTAATCTACAAACAGAAAATGCTCAATAATGGCTGTTGAATAAAAGACTGACTCAATCAAGTACTGAGCCCCGCCCTTATGGAGCTGAAGGCCGTTAGAGCAGATAAAATGTCATAAATCACCCTTATATGAGTTAGATGGTGGACAAGGTTATTATTGAGGGCAGGCAAAGAACTGGGTTGGCTCAAAGATGACAGGGATCTTTTCCAGACTAATGGTAGAGGGTTGGTTAAGGAGTTTCCTGAAGGAGGTGGCCTTTCATCTGAGTCTCAAAGAATAGAAGGGATTAGACAGGGAGAACAGTAAAACTTTTTTTTTTTTTTTTTGAGACAGAGGCCCCCTTTGTCGTCCAGGTTGCAGTGCAGTGGTGCGATCTCAGCTCACTGCAAGCTCCGCCTCCCGGGTTCACACCATTCTCCTGCTTCAGCCTCCGAGTAGCTGGGACTACAGGTGCCTGCCAGCACACCCAGCTAATTTTTTTTTTTTTTGTATTTTCAGTAGACACGGGGTTTCACTGTGTTAGCCAGGATTTTTTTCGAAATTATTTTTATTTATTTATTTATTTTTTTGAGACAGAGTCTCACTCTGTCCACCAGGCTGGATTGCAGTGGTGCGATCTCGGCTCACTGCCATCTCCGCCTCCCAGGTTCAAGTGATTCTCCTGCCTCAGCCTCCTGAGTAGCTGACATTACAGGTGCCTGCCACCATGCCCAGATAATTTTTGTATTTTTAGTAGAGATGGGGTTTCGCCATGTTGGCCAGGCTGGTCTCAAACTCCTGACCTCAGGTGATCTGCCTGCCTTGGCCTCCCAAAGTGCTGGTATTAGAGGCATAAGTCACCGCACCCAGCCAGTAAAACTATTTGCAACACAGCAGCAAGTGCACAAGCACTGACCCGTCAGAGTTGAAGGTGGCTGAGGCACTCAAGTGGGCTCCTGGGGACTCTGTTATGCCAGGCAATACCTCTTTAGATAAGGGATCAGGAGGTCTAGAGGGTCCCTAAGGAAGAGCTAGGGTAGCAGGGGCACCCTGGAGCTAGGGGCCATGGCTATATGCCAACAGGATTAGAAATATCTTAATATATTTAATTAAGCTACTCAACCATATTGGTGTGTGCCTACTGAATATTAGCCCTAGATGGACCCGAAATGGCCTTATTCTCTTGTGGTTTATTGAAGCCAATGGAGCCTGACTAGAATGTGAGCTACAAAACAGTAGAGCTGTTCTCTATTCAATGCTGCATCTGTAGGGCCTAGAACAGCACCTGGAGGACTAGAGGAGGCTTAATAAATTGTTAAAAGGGCAGACTAGCCAGCGGTGATGGCACGTGCCTGTAGTCCCAGCTACTTGGGAGGCTGAGGCAGGAGGATCACTTGATCCCAGGAGTTCTGGGCTGTAGTGTAGTATACCAGTCAGGTGTCTGCACTAAGTTCTGCATCAACCTGGTTGCCTAAGGATAGTTGAACTGACCCAGGTGCAAATTGGAGCAGGTCAAAACTCCAGTGCTGATCAGTAGCAGGGTCGCACCTGTAAATAGGCACTGCCCTCCAGCCTGGGCAACATAGTGAGATCCCAGCTCGAAAATAAATTTTAAAAATAATTAATTAGAAAAAAAAACAGCCTGTAATCCCAGCACTTTGGGAGAGCAAGGTGGGCAGATCACCTGAGGTCAGGAGTTCAAGACTAGCCTGGCCAACATGGCGAAACCCAATCTCTACCAAAAATACAAAATTTAGCTGGGCGTGGTGGCACGCACCTGTAGTCTCAGCTATTAGGGAGGCTGAGGCAGGAGAATCGCTTGAACCTGGGAGGTGGAGATTGCAGTGAGCCGAGATCACACCACTGCACTCCAGCCTGGGCAGCAGAGTGAGACTCTGTCAAAAAAAAAAAAAAAAAAAAAGAAAAAAGAAAAAAGGAAAGAAAAGAAAAAAACCTGGGAGGCCTAAGCCCATCCTTGGGGTCCTCACACTCTTCTACCCCATCTCCTTGCACCCAGTCTTCCCCTGCAATCTCTGCTCCATACTAGCCTTCAAGCCCTCAACATGACCTAGTATGAGAATTGGATTCTGTCGCTCTCCTGCTCATAATATTTTATGCCTCCCCTTCACCCAGAATATCATTCTCCCTATTGTTTTTTTTTTTTTTTTTTTTTTTTGAGACGGAGTCTCGCTCTGTCGCCCAGGCTGGAGTGCAGTGGCCAGATCTCAGCTCACTGCAAGCTCCGCCTCCCGGGTTCACGCCATTCTCCTGCCTCAGCCTCCTGAGTAGCTGGGACTACAGGCGCCCGCCACCTCGCCCGGCTAGTTTTTTGTATTTTTTTAGTAGAAACGGGGTTTCACCGTGTCAGCCAGGATGGTCTCGATCTCCTGACCTCGTGATCCGCCCGTCTCGGCCTCCCAAAGTGCTGGGATTACAGGCTTGAGCCACCGCGCCCGGCCCTCCCTATTGTTTTTACCAATTGAACTGGTATTTCTTCAAGGATATAAACAAATTTGCCTACTTCTATATTATCTTCTAAAGCAGAATTCATCTCTCTTCCCTCAATATTATGATATTGACAGGGTTTGCCCTCACTCACTAGACTGCGAGCTCCTCAGGGCAGGCAGTTGGTTTTTTGTTTCTTTTTTTTTTTTTTGAGACAGGGTCTTGCTCTGTCACCTAGGCCAGAGTGCAATGGTACAATCTCAGCTCACTGCAGCTACAACCGCCTCGGCTCAAGCAATCATCCCATTTCAGCCTCCTGAGTAGCTGGGACTACGGGCACATGCCATTACACCTGGCTAACTTTTTGTATTTCTAGTAGAGACAGGGTTTGGCCATGTTGCCCGGGCTGGTCCAAACTCCTGGACTCAAGCAATCCACCTACCTCAGCCTCCCAAAATGAGGGACTGTGTCTTATTCATTTCCATGTCCCTAGTCCATAGCCCAGTGCTGGACCTGTGGTGGTACTAAATACATATTTGTTGGATGCAATAGTAAATAGCATTTCAGGGAGCAAGAACTAGATTAACAAAGGTGGTAAAAGGTTTGGAGAAAAAAATAATAGTTTAATTTGGCTAGAATATGAGGGAGAGTAGTAGGAGACAAGGCGGAAAGGTCTCTTGGGCAAGGCTTTGAAGGGACTTGGAAGTCAGAAGTACACAATGTGCATATTGTGGTAGGTACTGGGGAGCCAATGAAGACTTTTGAGCAGTTGAATAACGTGATGAAAAATAAATATAGGTTAAACCTATCAGAGCCCCTCTGACACATACACTTGCTTTTGATTCAAGCTCAAATTTGTCTCCCACATACCCAGTACTTAACTCACCCTCGGGCTCCCTAGCAGCCTGCCCTACCCCTTTACCTGCTTCCTAGTGGAGTCAGGGATGTATACATAAGCTGCTTTCCCTCTCAGCCAGAGGACATGGGGGCCCCAGCTCCCCTGCCTTTCCCCTTCTGTGCCTGGAGCTGGGAAGCACGCCAGGGTTAGCTGAGGCTGGCTGGCAAGCAGCTGGGTGGTGCCAGGGAGAGCCTGCATAGTGCCAGGTGGTGCCTTGGGTTCCAAGCTGAGTCCATGGCCCTGATAACCTTCTGCCTGTGCACACACCTGCCCCTCACTCCACCCCCATCCTGGCTTTGGTATGGGGGAGGGGGCACAGGGCCAGACAAACCTGTGAGACTTTGGCTCCATCTCTGCAAAAGGGCGCTCTGTGAGTCAGCCTGCTCCCCTCCAGGCTTGCTCCTCCCCCACCCAGCTCTTGTTTCCAATGCACGTACAGCCCGTACACACCGTGTGCTGGGACACCCCACTGTCAGCCGCATGGCTCCCCTGTGCCCCAGCCCCTGGCTCCCTCTGTTGATCCCAGCCCCTGCTCCAGGCCTCACTGTGCAACTGCTGCTGTCACTGCTGCTTCTGGTGCCTGCCCATCCCCAGAGGCTGCCCCGGATGCAGGAGGATTCCCCGCTGGGAGGAGGCTCTTCTGGGGAAGATGACCCACTGCATGAGGAGGATCTGCTCAGTGAAGAGGATCCACCCAGAGAGGAGGATCCACCCAGAGAGGAGGATCTACCTGAAGTTAAGCCTAAATCAGAAGAAGAGGGCTCCCTGAAGTTAGAGGATCTACCTACTGTTGAGGCTCCTGGAGATCCTCAAGAACCCCAGAATAATGCCCACGGGGACAAAGAAGGTAAGTGGTCACCAGTCTCCAAATCCAGGTTTCAGGAGGTTCATGCCTCCCCTCCCATACCCCAGCCTAGGCTCTGGTCACTTAGCGAAGGAGGGGAGCCTGTACTCCCACAGAAGCCCTTCCATAGGTCCCATACCAATATCCCCATCCCCACTCTCGGAGGTAGAAAGGGACAGATGTGGAGAGAAAATAAAAAGGGCGCAAAAGGAGAGAAGTGAGTTGGATAAGATGGGAGAGAAGGGGGAGGCTGGAGAAGAGAAAGGGATGAGAAGTGCAGATGAGAGAAATAATGTGCAGAGAAAAAATAGGTGAAGAAGGAGAGCCAGAGAGTTTGAGGGGAAGAGAAAATGAGGTGAAATGGGTACCAGAGGACAAGCAAGAAGAGCTTGTAGAAGTCATCTCATCTTCAGTCTACAATGAGGGAATTGAGGCCTAGGAAGAAGGACACAGCAGGTGGAGAAACGTGGCGTCTTGACTCCCAAGCCAGGAATTTGGGGAAAGGGGTTGGAGACTAGACAAGGCAGAGGGATGAGTTGGGAGAAGAAAGAAAGGAGAAAGAAAAGATGGTGTACTCACTCATTTGGGACTCAGGACTGAAGTGCCCACTCACTTTTATTTTTTTGAGACGAACTTTCACTTTTGTTGCCCAGGCTGGAGTGCAATGGCGTGATCTCGGCTCACTGCAACCTCCACCTCATGGGTTCAAGCAATTCTCCTGCCTCAGCCTCTTGCCAAGTAGCTGGGATTACTGGCATGCGCCACCACGCCCGGCTATTAGTAGAGACGGGGTTTCACTATGTTGGTCAGGCTGGTCTCCAACTCCTGATCTCAGATGATCCACCCGCCCTGGCCTCCCAAAGTGCTGGGATTACAGGCGTAAGCCACAGCGCCTGGCCTGAAGCAGCCACTCACTTTTACAGACCCTAAGACAATGACTGCAAACTGGTAGGATAGCTTTTTGGCCCACCCAGTTGCGGTGATGAGTTTGAGTGCGGTCTCGAGCTTTGCACCTGGCCCGCTTAAGGCATTTGTTACCGGTAATGCCCCTGTAAGGTATCTGAGTTTGTGACGTCGTTTTGGCCGCCAGGAAGGGATTGGGCCCTAAGCTTGGGCGGTTCATCCTTTTCATTTATACAGGGGATAACCAGAGACACTGGCGCTATGGAGGTGAGACACCCACCTGCTGCACAGACCCAATCTGGGAACCCAGCTCTATGGATCTCCCGTCCCACCTGCCGCCTGCCGTCCCATCCCCTCACCTTTTCTACCCGGGCTCCCTGAGTTCCTGACCTAGGCGTCAGACTTCCTCACTAAACTCTTCCACCCCAGGCGACCCGCCCTGGCCCCAGGTGTCCCCAGCCTGCGCGGGCCGCTTCCAGTCCCCGGTAGATATCCGCCCCCAGCTCGCCGCCTTCTGCCCCGCCCTGCGACCCCTGGAACTCCTGGGCTTCGAGCTCCCGCTGCTCCCAGAACTGCGCCTGCGCAACAATGGCCACAGTGGTGAGAGGGTCTCCCCGCCAAGACTTGGGGATGGGGCGGGGCGCAGGAAAGGGAACCTTCGCTGCAATGCCTGCCCGGGGATTGGGCTGGCCCTCCCGGGCGGGGCCGGTTTACTTGCCTCTCCCTACGCAGTGCAACTGACCCTCCCTTCCGGGCTAGAGATGGCTCTGGGTCCCGGGCGGGAGTACCGGGCTCTGCAGCTGCATCTGCACTGGGGTGCTGCAGGTCGTCCGGGCTCGGAGCACACTGTGGAAGGCCACCGTTTCCCTGCCGAGGTGAGCGCGGAGCTGGAGAAGGGGCAAAGGAGCGGGGCGGGGCGGGGCCAGGCCAGAGACGTGGCTCTCTGCTACCCTCGTGTCCTCTCCAGATCCACGTGGTTCACCTCAGCACCGCCTATGCCAGAGTTGAGGAGGCTTTGGGGCGCCCCGGAGGCCTGGCCGTGTTGGCCGCTTTTCTGGAGGTACCAGATCCTGGACACCCCCTACTCCTCGCTTTCCCATCCCATGCTCCCTCCCAGACTCTCTATGGTGGTGCCAGAGACCCCATCACAGCATGCTCACCCTGGCCCCTGGCTGACAAACTCTTTCACGCACTGTTCGTTCATTTAACACCCACTGTGAACCAGGCACCAGTCCACAACAAGGATTCTGAAGCTGTAGGTCCTTGCCTCTGAGGAGCCCACAGCCAGTGGGGGAGGCTGACATGACAGACACATAGGAAGGACATAGTAAAAATGGTGGTCACAGAGGAGGTGACACTTAAAGCCTTCACTAGTAGGAAAGAAAAGGAAGTGTTCATTGCAGAGGGAACATAATGTGCAGAGTCTCAGAATATGGCCTATTTAGGGAATGGCTCCTGCAGTGCATTAGATATCAGGAAGAGTAATTTCTCTAATACTCCAATGACCCATCATTTCCCCTTTGTGAAATGCAGTGTTTAGTGACCTCTTTGGACCCATAATAATCAAGGCTACATCCACCATAATTAGAGGAGGCCAGTAAAGGGAAGGGATGGTGAGATGCCTGCTAGGTTCACTCATTCACTGATTTTTGTTTTTTGGACAGAGTCTCTCTCTGTCGCCCAGGCTGGAGTGCAGTGGTGTGATCTTGGGGCACTGCAGCCTCCGTCTCCCGGGTTTCCTCCTGCCTCAGCCTCCTGAGTAGCTGGGATTACAGGTTTGTGCCACCATGCCCAGCTAATTTTTTTTTTTTGTATTTTTAGTAGATGGGGTTTCACCATGTTGGTCAGGCTGGTGTCAAACTCCTGGCCTCAAGTGATCCGCCTGCCTCAGCCTCCCAAAGTGCTAGGATTACAAGCATGAGCCACCGTGCCCAGCCACACTCACTGATTCAACACCAGCCACACAATGCAAAGTTCAGAGAAATGCCTCTGACATAGCATGTCAATATGTTCATACTCTTAGGTTTATAATGTTCTTAACATTAGGTTCATAAGCAAAATAAAAAAGAATAATAAATAAAAGAAGTGGCATGTCAGGACCTCTCCTGAAAAGCCAAACAGAATGATGAAGGTGAAGGCAGAGGTGACACCAACACAAAGATGTATATATGGTTTCCTGTGGGGGTTATGTATGGAGGCAGCAGTGATTGAGACTGCAAACATTAGAAGGGCCCAGGTCACTGAGAGCCTAGTATCCTCGTAAAGTGGCCTCTCTCCCTCCCTCTCCAGCTTGTCATTGAAAACCAGTCCACCAAGCTTGTTGGTTCGCACAGCAAGAGTACATAGAGTTTGAGTACTAATACATAAGATTTTAAGAGGGAGACCCTGTCCCAAAAACAACAACAACAAAAATCAACCACCATTACAATTTTACGTTCCCTCAGCATTTTCAGAGCTGAGGAATGGGAGAGGACCATGGGAACCCCCATAATGTTCCGGCCTTCAGCTATGGTCCTTTATACATGCACTCATCTGCCTTACAATGTCATCCCCCAGGAGGGCCCGGAAGAAAACAGTGCCTATGAGCAGTTGCTGTCTCACTTGGAAGAAATCGCTGAGGAAGGTCAGTTTGTTGGTCTGGCTACTAATCTCTGTGGCCTAGTTCATAAAGAATCACCCTTGGGAGCTTCAGGTCTGAGGCTGGAGATGGGCTCTCTCCAGTGCAGGAGGGATTGAAGCATGAGCCAGTGCTCATCTTGATAATAACCATGAAGCTGACAAACGCAGTTACCTGCAAACGGCTGCCTACAGATTGAAAACCAAGCAAAAACCGCCAGGTGCAGTGGCTTACGCCTGTAACCCCAGCACGTTGGGAGGCCGAGGCGGGTGGATCACGAGGTCAAGAGATCGAGACCATACTGGCCAACATGGTGAAACCCCATCTCTACTAAAAATACAAAAAAATAGCTGGGCATGGTGGGTGCCTGTAGTCCCAGCTACTCAGGAGGCTGAGGCAGAAGAATGGCATGAACCCGGGAGGCAGAAGTTGCAGTGAGCCAAGATCGCGCCACTGCACTCCAGCCTGGGTGACAGAGCGAGACTCTGTCTAAAAAAATGAGACAAAAAAACTACAAAAAAACAAAAAAAAACAAGACCAAAAAATGGTGTTTGGAATTTTCAAGGTCAAGTCTAGAGAGCTAAACTTTTTCTGAGGACTGTTTATCTTTAATAAGCATCAAATGTTTTAACTTTGTAAATACTTTTGTTGGAAATCTTTCCCTTCTTAGTCACTCTTGGGCCATTTTAAATCTCACTTACTCTACTAGACTTTTAGGTTTCTGCTAGACTAGGTAGAACTCTGCCTTTGCATTTCTTGTGTCTGTTTTGTATCAATATTCATATTTATTTACAAGTTATTCAGATCATTTTTTATTTTATTTTATTTTTTATTTTTTTGTATTTTTAGTAGGGACAGAGTTTCACCATATTGGCTAGGCTGGTCTCAAACTCCTGACCTTGTGATCCACACGCCTCGGCCTCTCAAAGTGCTGGGATTCATTTTTTAATTTTTAATTCGCTCTGGGCTTAAACTTGTGACCCAGCACTTTATGATGGTACACAGAGTTAAGAGTGTAGACTCAGATGGTCTTTCTTCTTTCCTTCTCTTCCTTCCTCCCTTCCCTCCTGCCTTCCCTTCTCTCCTTCCTTTCTTTCTCCCTCTCTCGCTCCCTCAGGCCTCTTCCAGTTTCCCCAATGCCCAGTACTTTTTTTGAGTTATGTCTTATGGGAAGGGCCCGCACTTAGTGAAGAAGTGGTCTCAGAGAGTTGAGTTACCTTGGCTTCTGGGAGGTGAAACTGTATGTCTATACCCTGAAGCTTTAAGGGAGTGCAGTGTAGGTGAGACCCCAACATAGATCCTCTTCACAGGCTCAGAGACTCAGGTCCCAGGACTGGACGTATCTGCACTCCTGCCCTCTGACCTCAGCCGCTACTTCCGATATGAGGGGTCTCTGACTACACCGCCCTGTGCCCAGGGTGTCATCTGGACTGTGTTTAACCAGACAGTGATGCTGAGTGCTAAGCAGGTGGGCCTGGGGTGTGTGTGTGGACACAGTGGGTGTGGGGGAAGGAGGATGTAAGATGAGAAAGAGGAGAAGAAAGAAATCAAGGCTGGGCTCTGTGGCTCACGCCTATAATCCCAGCACGTTGGGAGGCTGAGGTGGGAGAATGGTTTGAGCCCAGGAGTTCAAGACAAGGCAGGGAAACATAGTGTGACCCCATCTCTACCAAAAAACCCCCAACAAAACCAAAATTAGCGGGGCATGGTGGTGTGCGCCTAGTCCCAGCTACTCAGGAGGCTGAGGTTGGAAGATCGCTTGAGTCCAGGAGTTTGAGGCTGCAGTGAGCTATGTGATCCCACCGCTGCCTACCATCTTTAGGATACATTAATTTATTTATAAAAGATACCAAGGGGCCGGGTGGAGAATACAGGAGATGGAGGATGGAGCCCTGAGGTGCTGGTTGTGAGCTGGCCTGGGACCCTTGTTTCCTGTCATGCCATGAACCCACCCACACTGTCTACTGACCTCCCTAGCTCCACACCCTCTCTGACGCCCTGTGGGGACCTGGTGACTCTCGGCTACAGCTGAACTTCCGAGTGACGCAGCCTTTGAATGGGCGAGTGATTGAGGCCTCCTTCCCTGCTGGAGTGGACAGCAGTCCTCGGGCTGCTGAGCCAGGTACAGCTTTGTCTGGTGTCCCCCCAGCCAGGGGTCCCTTATCCTCCCATGTGTGTGCCAGTGTCTGTCATTGGTTGTCACAGCCCGCCTCTCACATCTCCCTTTTTCTCTCCAGTCCAGCTGAATTCCTGCCTGGCTGCTGGTGAGTCTGTGCCCCTCCTCTTGGTCCTGATGCCAGGAGACTCCTCAGCACCATTCAGCCTCAGGGCTGCTCAGGACCGCCTCTGCTCCCTCTCCTTTTCTGCAGAACAGACCCCAATCCCAATATTAGAGGCAGATCATGATGGGGATTTCCCCATTGTCCCCAGGGCCTAATTGATTAGAATGAAGCTTGAGAAATCTCCTAGCATCCCTCTCCCCAACCCCCGCCCCCCTTTTTTTAAAGACAGGGTCTCCCTCTTGTCCAGGCTGGGGTGTTGTGGCACGATCATAGCTCACTGCAGCCTCAAACTCCTAGGCTCAGGCAATCCTTTCACCTAAGCCTCTCAAAACACTGGGACTGTAGGCATGAGCCACTGTGCCTGGCCCCAAACAGCCCTTTTACTTGGCTTTTAGGAAGGAAAAACAGTGCTTATCTTGCCCCTTCTTGTGTATCCACCCTCATCCCTTGGCTGGCCTCTTCTGGAGACTGAGGCACTGGGGGCTGCCTGAGAACTTGGGGCAGGGGTGGTGGAGTGCACTGAGGCAGGTGTTGAGGAACTCTGCAGACCCCTCTTCCTTCCCAAAGCAGCCTTCTCTGCTCTCCATTCCAGGTGACATCCTAGCCCTGGTTTTTGGCCTCCTTTTTGCTGTCACCAGCGTCGCCTTCCTTGTGCAGATGAGAAGGCAACACAGGTATTACACTGACCCTTTCCTCAGGCACACCCTTCCCCAACCCCGTGCAGAGTCGCTTAGTAAAAAGTGCATGCAAATGAGCTGCTCCGGGGCCCGTTTTCTGATTAGTCTTCCCTGTTGTGTACACACAGAAGGGGAACCAAAGGGGGTGTGAGCTACCACCCAGCAGAGGTAGCCGAGACTGGAGCCTAGAGGCTGGATCTTCGAGAATGTGAGAAGCCAGCCAGAGGCGTCTGAGGGGGAGCCAGTAACTGTCCTGTCCTGCTCATTATGCCACTACTTCCTTTTAACTGCCAAGTAATTTTTTAAAGTAAATATTTATAATAAAATATGTGTTCGTCACCTTTTTTCCCCAAATCAGAAGGATGGTATTTGAATTTCCTGTTATTATTAGCACGAACTTAGTGGTAATGCATTTATTATCTTACAGTTCGGAGGTCAGCAGTCAGATGTCAGTAGGGCTTGCTCGTCCTGGATGCTCTAAAAGTAGAATGTTTCCTTGCCCTTTTCAGATTCTAGGAACCACCTGCATTCCTTGGCTCCCAGCCACTTCCACACATCACTCCAATCTCTTGCTCCCATTGTCACAACTCCTACCTCTACATTTGACCTCCTTGTCTCCTTAAGAACCCTTGGGATTACACTGGGCCTATCTAGATAATCAAGGATAATCACCCCATCTCAAAATCTTAATCACCAAGTTTCTTCCCATGTAAGGTAAGAACAATGCACAGGATTAGAACATGGACATTTTGGAGAAGGGGAATATTCTGCCTACCACAGATGCTATCAGGAAGAGGACAGAAATGACTGATACTGTTGGGATGGCCGTGTGTATGTGTGTGTGCAGTGTATGTGTTGAGGGGTAGGGCAGACAGCAGCCCAAGGCTTAACATCACACTCAGGCTTTTGGGTTTTCACCTTGCTCAAAGAAAATGTGTCACCTCTTGCAGTTTTTGCTTCAGGATGTGCTGTCTGGCCCAGCTGGCTGCTGGAACAGGGCGGTGCTATGGATGGCAGCTCCTCAGGCTGTAGGGCACAAGGCCTACGATGTCCCCCAGTTTTGTCAGACTTCCTGCTTCACACAGCCTGTTCACAGCCCCTCCTCAATGAGCCCAGGCCCCCCATCCCAGTTTCCCCTGAAAAGGAAGTCCTAATGCAGAGCAAGGACCCAGGCCCTGCTCATTCAGGGGTCCTTCAAACTCCATTGCCAACACCAAAGAAAGGCTTAAAGGGCCTTGAGAAGCTGGTAACATCAGTTTTATTGGGTTGGGGCAGCAGCCACAGCCTGGCTGTGGGTGGGGCGGGCCCTCACAGGTTGTTGAGTTCCAGCAGGGTCTGGTCCAAAGTCTGGTGAATCTCGACGTTCTCCTCCTTGGCACTGGCCAAGGTCTCTGTGAGGGGAAGCAGCAGGTGAGGGAGGAGGGAGACACAATGGGGAGACGTAGGGGGGCAGGGCCAGGGGAAGGTGACCTATAAACATTGAGTGGGTCAGGAGACACAGGAAGACACATGCATTCAGGGACCTCAGGGCCCCATGGCAGGGACAAATGGATGGACTGACCAGGATGAGGGCAACAAGACGGACATGGATGCCTCACTCAAGGCCTTAGGGTCATGGAGGTGGGGTGGGGAGGCCTGAGTCATAAACTACTTTATCCTCCTCTTTAGAAGGTTTAAGAAAGTTGGAGACAGAAGGTAAGACAAAGACTGCGCCAGGAAAGGAAGGGCCAGACAGACTTGAGGTAGAAAACAGACCTGCCGCTGCAGTGAAAGCCCCATGTTGCAGATATCCAACATTTTTTCCAAGCTCCATTCCAGACCTTTTGCAACCTTCTTGCCCCTGTCCTGCACCTCACCACCCTACTTCCTTTCCAGTCACTCTGTTTGATCCTGGAACCCCAGCTAAGTGCTCTGAGGTCAGTGATTGGCACCAGAGGGGGTCATGGTTTGACGGGGCTACACGTGTCCACATGCAGCGGTGAGTCAGAGAGCGACAGCCAGGGAGTGCCTGTGCAGAGGGGTTTCAGCGTGGGCCATGGTGTTTTGTGGGCGGGCTCAGTGCAGGGGGTGGGGGTGTCAGTAAGAGTCAGGGTGTCAGGAGTGAACCAGTGCTCCGTGGTGGCGATAGAGGTGCTTTCTGGAGGGCAGGAAAACAGCATGGAGACCAAGTTCAGAGTTTATTAAGCAGCAAAGGGGGGTGGAGGGGACAGGTAAAGGATGAAGCCAGTGCCAGAGTGGGTGGTGGGCATGATAGGGGCTCTCCCTAGGCTGCTCCCAGCCTGGCTGTGCAATGTTGGCAATTTCTGCTCCTCCTGCCTGCTCCCCTCCCCATAGAGAGAATAGAAAGGAGAGGAGAGAAGAGGGCTGAGGTGGCCACGCTGGCGTGGGGCTCAGAGGGAGGTGATGTCATTGAGTGCGTTGTCCAGTTCCTCGCTAATGGCCTTGTACTTCATCTTCTGGGCATAGACTTCATCTGGGGGGGGTCCAGGGAGGCAAACAGGTGGGAGTGTGGGAAAGGGAGTGGAGGGAAAGAGGAAAGGAAGGAGAGAGGGCAATGGAAAGAAAAACAGAATCAGAGGTGCACAAAGACAGAGTGAAAGAGGGAGGCCAGGGAACAGGTTGGACGGCTGTCGGGAACTCCTTCTCCCCATCTCTACCCCATCTCTTTTCTGTCCTTCTCTGTACCCCAAATTGGCTCTACCCACAGAAGCTCCTGTCTCCCCAGGGAGCTGTGGGCACAGTGCTCTCCACAAGCAGAAGTGCTTGCTTTGCAGGGAGAGGAAGGGTGCTGGAGCCAGAAAGGGCAAACCTCCTAAAGCCGGAGGTAAAACTGCAGCTTGCCTGAGAAGGCTGGAAGCGAGAGAAGTGGGAAAGTGAAAGGGTTATCACAGAATAAAAAGGAAAGGCAACTTTAGCCACAACACCATTAACAATAGAAATAGCCACAGACTCACAAATATCTGGATGTTTGCTTTTGCCAAATCTAGCTTAAAACAGTGTTTTCTATGAGTGTTGTCATGCAGACCTAGATGTTCAGTCCAATAGCTCTCTAGTTAATAAGCCAGTCTCTGAGCTAGAACTCTACTGCGTTACACTCGGGGACGCAATTGTCTATATGGGTGCCACTCAGAGTGTGGCATGAGGACCAGCAGCATCGGCAGTACCAGAGAACTAGCTAGAAATGTAAATCCTCCAGCCCAAAGTCAGCAATCTCTTTGGGGCAGAGCCAAGAAATCTGTTTTTAAAAATCTCCCAGTGATTCTCATGCATGCTGAAGTTTGAGAAGCACTGGAGTTGTTGTGCCGTGGGCAGCTACAATTACTTGAATTGTAGACGTGGCCCACAGAGCTGGGGAGTTGGTAGGGTCCTAGGTGGTCCAATCCTAGTTTACTGGTAGCAAATAAAATGGGATGAGAAGGTATGGGACAGACTGATAATCACGGCAGGTGTGGACCTACTTATAAAGGCTTCTTTTACCTTCTAGGTCATCAATGGTTTTCTCCAACTTTGCCACAGACCTCTCAGCAAACTCTGCTCGGGTCTCAGCCTGGGGGTAAAGGCAGGGTGGGAGAAATGGCAAAGAATTAGGCCCTCCCACAGACCACTGCCTAAGTCAAGCTTCTTGCCCATCCCAACCCTCAAGTGTCCTGCCACAGGCTGTCTCTGGCAAGGACTAGGGTGGCTTGAGGGGAGACTGGGAACTGGCAGAGGACTCTCACCTCCTTCAGCTTCTCCTCCAACAGTTTGATCTCCTCTTCATATTTATCTTCTTTGGTGGAATACTTTTGGGGACACACACAGGCCATCAGTACAGCACCACCACAGATCCTTCATTTCTCCATTGTACCCCGTAGGCTCCTGGCCATCTTGCCTCTGTTGAACACCCAGCCCCTCCCTGCCTTGGGCCTCTCACCTCCCTCCCCTGTGGGACCCCATCCTCACTGCCCCTCTGCTCCCGTCTACCTTGTCCGCCTGGGCCTCCAGGGATTTCAAGTTGTTGGTAACAATTTTCAGCTCCTCCTCTAGGTCCCCACATTTACTGCAGGGGGTGTGTGGCGGGGGGGGCGGGGTGTGAGGGCACAGTGAAGCCAGACAGTGGAGATGGCACAGCGGGGGATGGGTGGAGGAGAGAAGAGAAGAGCAAAGTTGTGAGAGTGATAGCAGGCAGGGCTCAGAAGCCCCAGGCCCTTCCTGATCCCCAGCAGCTGAGAAAGAGCAGTCTGCGGTGCTGAGACGGAGGGAAGGTAAGCTGAGAGAAGGCGCCATTGCCCAGAAAGGTTCAGAGGGGTCGCTACCTCCTCCTCTGAGGCCATCAGGGACTTGAGGGCCTGGTCCATGGTTCGAAGTTCCTCCTCCAGCTGTCTGGCTCGGCTGGGGGCAGCGGGCAGGGGTCAGAGAACAGGGCCTGTCCCTATAGCCCCAAGCCTAGGATGCTACCTCCCCACTATGTGGAAGGCCCCAGGGCCAATGGGCCCACTTGCCACCCCAGGGTATCTTTACCTCTCAGCCACCTCAGCTCTCTCCTCCGAGCGCTCCAGCTCTCCTTCCAGGATCACCAGCTTCCTGGCCACCTGAGGGAAGTGAGAAAGAGAGGGTAGATCAGTGGAGAAGGACTGGGCATGTTGCAGGCTGGGCAGCGAGCAGGCAGAGGGGCAAGGCTGTCACCTCTTCGTATTTGCGGTCTGAATCCTCAGCGATGTGCTTGGCCTCCTTCAGCTGCATCTCCTGCAGCTCCATCTTCTCCTCGTCCTTCATGGCCCGGTTTTCAATGACCTTCATTCCTCTGAAAGACAGGGAGAGGGTGAGCGTGGGGTCAGGACTAGCAGAGACAGGCTCCCTCCTCCTTCCCGGACCATCCTCTCCGAGGCCCCAACCACCTCTCGCTCTCATCAGCCGCCTTCTCGGCCTCCTCCAGCTTCTGCAGGGCTGTAGCCAGGCGCTCCTGGGCCCGGTCCAGCTCCTCCTCAACCAGCTGAATGCGGCGGTTCAGAGAGGCCACATCTGCCTCAGCCTGTGGGTCAGAGGTCAGGTGTCAAAAAAGCCTCGTTAGCCTTGGATAAGGATCAGAAAGGCTCCAGAGGATGGCAAGATTCTTCTCAGAAAGAACTGAGGCTTCCTGGTTTCTAGACATTCTATGTAATTTTTTCCCAACCAATCATCTTCTCCCCAGACTGTGCTCCAGTAAAAATGTGCATTCGGCTGGGTGCGGTGGCTCACGCCTGTAATCCCAGCACTTTGGGAGGCCAGGACGGGTGGATCACGAGGTCTGGAGATCAAGACCAGCCTGGCTAACACGGTGAAACCCCGTCTCTACTAAAAAAATACA